ATCACGAAGTCGTTTCAACAGTTGCATGTGGCTTACTCGATCAAACGCCTTGGACATATCCAAGTAGGTCACATCAACTTGTTTCCCAAGATCCAACTCACGACCAATATACTCAAAGACTTCAATGAGCTGTGTAACACAGGACTTCCGAGGAACAAAGCCATGTTGACCGTTGTTAATCTGTTCGAAAACGTGGTCTTTGATCTTATTGAACACGCATCTTTCCAATGCTTTCGAGATAAGGGAAAGAAGCGAAATTGGTCGATAGTTTTCTACGTGCTCTTTGTTGTCTTTTTTGTGGACGGGAACAACATTTGCTAGTTTCCAGTCGCGTGGTAACACACCAGTGTTCAGAGATTTATTAAACAAGACAGTTAGTGATGGAGCAATTTGGCGAGCTGTTTCTTTTAATAATCGTGCAGGAATCCCATCTGGACCTTGAGCTTTATTAATGTCGAGATTATGCAATACGGAGAAAACATCGGCTTCCGAAAGGGTAATGTTCTCGATGATAGTATTGTTAGACTGATATGGAAGAGCGTCAGGACTGTAGTTTTCGATATTTGGATCGGTGGTAAATATAGATGTGAAGTAGTTGTTGAAGAGTGCAGCAATATCTGCTGGATTTCCTGTGGATGTTCTTTTGGTTTCAGTTACTTTCACCGAGAGCTTTTGAGGAATGTTCCGTGTCTTATTGAACTTGAACAGGGACCAGAAGCGTTTGGGATTAAGTCCACGGCTGGAACAAATAGAGTCGAAATATTTGGAGTGACTGTTACGTAACATACTCTTGATGGAACTACGAAGGGTTTTGAATTTTTCCAGGAGATATTCAGTAGGTGTAGGGGATTTCTTAATTCTGAGGCGGAGAGAGTTTTTCTTCTTGATGTTGTGTAGAATTGTAGAATTCATCCACGGTACATAGTTGCGACCCTTTACTCTCACTGATGGTATGTGTTGGGATACTGCTTCTAGGAACGCCTTCTTCCATTGTTGCCAGTCGTGGTTGATATTGTCGTCGGTTGTAACCAGGGAATCCAGATTTAGACATTCAAGGGAATTTCGTAAGCCAGCAAAATCACCTTGACGATAATTATAGACAGTTCTGCGTATCTTTGGTAGTTGATTATAACACATTGAAAATTCAAACACAATAATGTTGTGATCGGTGAAAAGTTCTGCTTGAGTGGGAGACAAAATTTCACATATTTTGACTTTGTTGGGAATATTGGTAAGAACGAGATCTAACGTGTTATTACCTCTAGTAGGTGCGGTGTTTAGTTGTTCCAAGAAATGGTCATGGAGCAGTTCTACGAAGGTATGTTCGTTACTACCTGATGTTTTCTCTGGCGAGTCCCATGATATACGTGGCATATTGAAATCTCCTGCAAGAACAATGTTTGAGTGTTGTGAACAAACATCACTCATAAAGTTATTGAACTTGTCCAACCAGGTATGATCTGAGTTTGGTGGATGATAACAAGAACAAATTAATAAACTTGCGTTTGAAGTGGAGATCTCCAAATCATGACCATGTTGAATTTCCTGCACCGATTTAAATGATGAAATCTTTATCGCTAACAGTACTCCACCACCACAAGATCCGCAATCGTTCCTGAATATGTCATATCCCGAATGCAGAATTTCAGAGTTTTTAATATCCTCATTAAGCCACGTTTCGTTGACACAAACAATATCGGGATCTTCAGAATAGACCAAGTTCTGGAAGCGTTCAATGTTAGTATATGTCAAATTGTTTCCGATGTTGGTTTTATGTAAACTCATCAGACTTCGAGCATTGAGTGCGAGACATTTTACGAACTGGTTTTCACGATTCGTGTGTTTGTAAGGTCCAGGATTTGTTGCGATATCTCCGGCAAGCAAGAGTAATATAGACGCATGTGAGATCTTGCGGTTAATTTGTAAGTTTAAGCCGTAGCGATGCTGGTTATTGCATGGTAAGTTATACTTTCTGAAAACAACATCACAGGTGGAAACCCAAACATACCATAGTTTTTCGGGCAGAGAAACAAGTTCGGAGCAGATTAAAATGTTTCCTGATGTAATTTGGGTCTTATTAGCGTCTCGATTAACTTTCACAGACAGTTTCAAAATTGAAAAAAGAAGTAACATGTTAATTATGAAGCGTCCAATCTTAACTAGACTTTCCCTAACATCTGAAGTGTTTTTTAAAACCATTTCTGAATTCAAAGCTTACACTCACGTGATTTATTCTTTTTGTATTAATTTATTGAACTCACATAGTTCAATATCATGATATGTTTGTAAAAGCTGGAAGATGTACGAGCACTGAGACAATGCCTCAAATGTTCTCTTTATATATTTTCCGATTAATATTGGAACTGGGTTATAGACCGGCTCCAAATATTGTTCTCAACAATCGGGAATATCTGGATTGATTTGATAAACTGGTGTTGTAAGGTAAGAATTAACAAAAATAAATAGTCTGCTTTTAGTGCTTTCTATGAAGAAAATGGCAAACTGGCCCAACTAAGGTGGCCACCCAGCCCGGACGATTCAGTCTGTATTATGTATGTTGTAAACAGCCCCCAAGGAGGTTGTTTGTATGAATTTTTCATTTATTGACTGCACCGAGAATTTAGTAACTAACAACAACATAATTGCACATGAATCTTAAGGCCTACCTCCAAGTGCAGCCATTTTAAGGCCTGTTTACACGGTGCTCAATTTTGGTACCTGTAACATGTTTACCATGCTTGGACTACTATTCATAGTTTGATATATTCCAACTATTCATAGTTGGAATATTCTTGGCTTCAATTTTACTAAAAGAGATGTGCTATCTGGTGTATATAAGATATCTATGCCTTTGAGGCTGGTTGATAAACTATTAATTAATAAGGTGGTCTTACACCCAAAATTAAGGTCTCAGACCATTTTTTAAATTATGCATAAATTGAATCATAAATCATGTTGGAATGATGTGGCGAAAAAATTTTTGTGATAGAATGAAAAGAAATATAAAAAAATTACGTTTTTTGAAGCCTAGCTATTGTTTTTCGCCTTAGCAACGCCCTTTGCAATGGAGAAATAAACAAACTGTTTTGTTTTCCTTTTCTTTTCTACCTGTCCCTCCCCTGGACAGTATTTTTTGTCTATTGAGTAGTAAAGCCGCTGACTATGGCGTACTGCTGCTTTACACACGTTTTCAAAACGTTTTTATCGGGATATTTCGAAAAGTGAATTTACAGAAATTGCTTATTCTTTGTTGTTTTATATTGAATTTGTCGATTGATTTACTGTTATAAGTATGCCACAATCTTCTTCAAAATCTTGTAAACGAAAATATCAAAGTAATCAGTGGTCATAGGGTAAAAAGACCAAGTGTAGCGATAGTGATGTAACCACCACAGACCAAGGTTCGTTCATGCTAGTGCCTCTGCAAGGAAGTCGAGTAAATGTCTAAAACCTACAGCTAAAGCTAATACAAAGCTAGATGGATATCATATCTTTAGTCTTGAAATACTTTCAAACGTATTGAAACAAGTTGCTTGTCAGAAATGTAATGAAAGGTGTCTGTGTTTGGAAGAAGATAACAAAAGAAGGCAAGGGTGCTCATCATATCTCAGTATTGTCTGTTCTAGTTGTGATTGGAAGCACTGTTTCTATACTTCAAGAAAAATAAATAAAGGTTTTGAAGTTAATAAAGAGCTTGTCTATGGCATGAGATTAACAAGGAAGAGCTTCTGCCAAACGTTTCTGTGGGATAATGAATATGCCTTCTCCATCTAAAGCAAATGCCTACTCTAAGAACAACAAAACCATCCTGAAAGCAGTTAAAACTGTTGTGGAGAAGAGCATGATGGATACCAGTGATGAAATCCATGCACTAAAAGGAAGCAACAATGTTTTAATGTTTTAATAAGATTCGGCAACTACCTAAAAATACAACAATGTAGTGCCAGGGAGTTCGCCACAGGTTCCCCCAATTACGGCGATCCCTTAATATTTACATAAAAAATTACGTTCAAATAATTGATTAACAAAACAGACAAAGTATAACAACACAAATACAAAACGGCTAAACTGACAACTAACAACAGTTTAAAACACCATCAAGGGATCTAGCCCTTTTACATTTAACGCAGACAGATTTCCAAGTCCGAGGATCGTCACAGTTATACGTGATCGATAGTGCGTTCTTATAGTACAGTTTCAGTCCTGATTTAAAAGCATAGAAACCAATGTTTCTGTCTCGAAGGTTATCACTTAGGATGTTCCAGGTTTTACAAGCTCTAATAAAATACGAGGACTGGAACGTTACAGTTTTGGCATAAGGTATTAAGAATTTAATTCGATTGTCATTAGTTTCACTTCTATAGTGATTCCTGATCCTGATATAACCGGTCGAGCACTGTCGTCAATATATGTATGATTGTTAATGATTTTATAGAGTAGGAATATATCCAGGTATTCGTGCCAATAAGTTATGGGTAGTAGATCTAGGTTATGTAGTCTTGTTGGATACGGTATGTTGGTGACAAACCCAAGATTAAGGATAAATTTGGTTGCTCTTCTCTGCACCTTCTCGATATTTTCAATTAATTGTATGGACTGTGGACACCATACTTGGGATGCGTACGCAAGATTGCTTCGAACAAGCTGTAAGTACAGATACTTTCTCGCCTTGATGTCAGTCATTTCCAAGGTAGATCGCCTAATTAATCCAAGTAATTTGTTAGCTTTGGACTTCACCTTGCTCACTTGAAGGATCCATGTTAATTTGGGACTGATAGTTATACCCAAGTCAACTTCAGCATCAGAAAAGAACAACAGGTTGCCGGCAAGACTGTATGGAGAAACCAAAGGTGATGTTTTTCTGGTTATAGAGTACCTTGCACTTGGATTGATTGAAATGAAGGTGGTTTTCATTTGACCAACATCGAAGACCTTGAATATCCTCTTGCAAGACCAAGGCATCAGAAGGATTCTTTATGCAACGATACAGCTTGGTGTTGTCAGCAAACAGTCCGACCCCAGTAGATAGATGATACATAGCTAGGTAAGTCACTGATATATACAGAGAAGAGAAAGGGACCCAATAACGATCCTTGTGGAACCCCAGAAGTAATGGATAAAGTGGTCGACGTAGCACCGTGAACAGTTACTCGTTGGAAGCGTCCGGATAAATAATCCTTAAACCACAGGAGGAGAGAACCAGAAAAACCGAATTCCTGCAGCTTTTGCAACAGTTTGGAGTGGTCAACGGTATCGAAAGCCTTAGCAATATCCATAAAAACAACATCAGTTTGTAATCCCTTATCCAAGTTCTTTCCAATAATATTTAATATTGATAATAACTGAGCTGTGCTTGATTTACCGTTAACGAAACCGTACTGCGCGGAATTAATGTTGGACTGAATATGGTAGGATACATGATTGAGGACACATCTTTCAAGGACCTTGCTTATGATTGATAGCAATGAAATAGGGCGGTAATTTTCCACATGATCTTTTTGTCCTTTTTTGTGTAGGGGAACAATGTTGGCTAACTTCCACTCGGCTGGAACCTGCGATAAGCAGAGCGACTTAGTGAATAGATGATGAAGTGATGGAGCTAGTTGGAAGGCACATTCTTTTAGAATGCGTGAAGGAAACCCGTCAGGACCATGAGCCTTTGATGGATCTAAGTTCTGCAAGGCTTGGAAAACTTCTACCGATAGGTCAATTGATGAAATGCTGGATAATGGGGAAGATGAATCTGGTTGAAACGAAGGTGATAGATCCTTAAAGCAGGTGTAGACAGATTGAAAGTACTCATTAAACATCGTCGCAATGTGTGTGTTAGCTAGTACACTAGGTGTATTAGCTTGTAATCTACTCCCAGGATTGTTATTGTCGAATCTTGAGACAGAGTTCGGTATGTTTCCAGAACTTGAATTAAATTTGAATACGGACCAAAAACGGTTGGGATTCACCTTTAAAAAGCTGCCCAAGGAAGCGAAAAATGACTCTCTGCTTTCTTGTATAACTTTTTTGACCTCGCTTCGTAATCTGCTAAACTTTTCTTTGAGATAGTCCGTTCCTTTATGTAGAAATTTCTTACGGGCAGTTGCTTTTTTACGAATCTGGTGCAAGATGTTTGGTGTTATCCAAGGTGGTGAGCGACGCAGGTCTATATACTTAGTGGGAATACAATTATGAACAGCAGTCATCACAGTGTTCTTCCAAATTGACCAATCATCATCGATACTCGTTTCCGTTACATTGTTTCTCATGAGAGAACATATGTCCATGTCCGTTAGACGTTTTCTTAGATCATCAAATTTGGCTCGTCCATAATCGTAGACCAAACGACGGTTTGTCATGATGGGATCTCTCAATGTGGAGTTTCTTGTGATGGAACATGGCATAGAAGAGGGCATTCATCACTGAATGGCTGTGTAACGACACTCTCGATTGACACTGGCAAGTGCCAGCCTTGATGTTGCAGTGTTAACTAAAGTGTGCCGAGGGTGTCAAAGACACAAGGACAGTGATGATCCTAAGGAAAACTTAGTTTGGGAAGCTGAGCACAAAGATGCAAAGCCAATTATTCTGGTTCTTCTGCTTCAATGGAAACTGTGGGAGTTAAGAAATTTGGCCGCAGTTAAGAAAGGTACAAACTACAGTATACAGAGTGTTTCAGCGATGGGGACAGCAAAGGTGTCAGTGAGGTTCAGGCTTTACACAGCAAAGAGAATGTTAAAGTGGTGAAAAAAGAATGTGTTGGGCATGTCCAAAAGCAGGTAGGAACTGCCCTTCGAAAGCTTAAAAAGGAGAATAAGGGACTAGGAAGGAAAGGAAAGTTGACAGATGCTTTGATTGATCGGCTTCAAAATTGCTATGGCATTGCAATTCGAAGCAATAATGGGAACCTGGAGGCAATGAAAAAAGCTATTCAAGCTAGCCTGATGCATTGCATAGCCTCAAAGAGAAGAGATCTGCATATGATTTGTCCTGCTGGTAGCTGGTGTCGATTTCAACAAGATCGGTCCAAAGGAACATCCTTGTACAAACCAGGGCCATGGTTGCCAGATGAATTAGTTTGGTAAAACCCATTTATGAGAGGCTAAGTAATGATTCTTTACTTGAAAGGTGCTTAGATGGGAAGACTCAAAACCAGAAT